CTGTTGGAAGTGTTTGCCAGCCTGGGGCATGGAGGTACATGCCTGTCATTGCAGCACTCAGGAGGCTGTCGGTGGCCGAGGCCGCCGCAGCAGGAGATGATGCCCCCCGACGAATATATTCCATTTCTTAGTTGCCCAGGTGACAGTCCCTGTTCCAGATCCTGTTGCTCCTGTTTTAGAAATGACTGCCGCTGTGGTGCGTAGCTGGTCACTGTGATGCCAACCCCCAGTGGCCGGGCCGTTCTGCCCCACATTTCCTGCTGGCTTTTCCCATGTAAGGCCCGGGCCACCACAGGTTGGGGCCTCATGTTCTGGGAGTGACCCTGATCAGGGCCGTCGATGTAATAAATCCACCTCCACATCGCGAGTGCTGTTCTGCGCTGTGAGATGCTCGGACACACGGACTCAAGCGCCTCAGGGCAGCGCCTGCGTGTGAAACCCAGAGGGACAAAGAGCAGACCAAGACGGATGATTGGACACAGGAAGCTCGACCTTCTGCAGACAGGAAGGGAGGGAGGGGACTTAAGGAGAAGCGGATATGCTCTGGACCAGGTTTGAGCCACTCCTCCTTCAGAGCCTCGTGCACATCCCATGCCTCGGCCACAGGCTTGCTGTTGCCCTGATCCCTCAGCTTCCCAAATACCTAGAGCTTTGCACAAATTACTTTCATTACTGAAACTATTCCTTATTCTTCACCAACAAACTCCTACTCATCCTTCACAGCCCTCTTCCATAAGGCCCTTTTAACTGAGAGCAGCAGTCTTCCTGCCTCGGCCTCCCGAGTAGCTGCAATGACAGGTGTTTGCTCCTGCCTCCAGTCATGAGGACTATTCTCAATGACACTCGGAGCTCCCCTCTTCCATTTTGTTGTGCTAAGTGCTGCTTCCTCTGTAGCCCTGTGATGTGGTGCCCCTGGTTGGCCCCAGAGCGCTGCATTAAGGGAAGTCTTTAGCTCATTAGTGTGAATTTGCTCACACTGCACTTTCTTCAGGGACAAAGAATAAACCAGTGTCTGAAGGCACTGACCAAGGAAGCAAAGCCTGCTGGGATTCAGAGCCCAGGTCTGCCCAGGCCTTGCCCTTAGTGGTCACCAGAGTCTGGACAGCACTCAGAGGTGCAGGGCTCCACTGTGACGCCCCCCCCCCCCGCCCCCAGGCAGCTGAGCACCTATGGGACTGGGCCGGGCCCAGCTCTCCATAGGCGCCCTGGCGGACCTGTGCATGGAGATCATGCACAGCCGCAGGCGTCGGCGGGAGGCTCGAGCTTTCAGCTCAGCTCCAGCAGGAGCGCTCATGAGGGTGACGCACATCTGTCATCCCAGCACTGGGAGGCTGAGGCAGGAGGACCACTGAGTTTGAGGCCAGCCTGGGCTACACACTGAGTTCAAGGACAGCTTGAGCTGTGTGGAAAAAGCCTATCTCAAAACAACAGTAAACAAGGCTTTAGCGAATCTCGAATCTCCTTGTGACTGCTAGTGGCTGTGCTACGCACAGGCCAGCAAAGGGCAGAGACAGCCTGGGCTCCGTGCTCGCAGGTGTCCACCAGCACTAGCCGAGCCGGGTGCTGTGTTCTCACACCCATCCCTCTGCTTGTCCCTCCACAGTGCCCTCTGATCCCGGACCTCCAGGCCTCCGGAGGGACAGGGCCAGCTGGGTGTCCCCAAATCCCGGCTGCCTCATCACTGCCTCTGCCAGGGCGAGGCAGTGCCAGTCAGGTGTCACTGGGCCTGGAGCCTTTGTGTTCGTTACCTGTCTCAGAGAGGGAGCCTTCCTATCCATGGATGTCGCCATGTCCCACCCCCCCCGCCAGCCTCATGAATCTCCTGTACCCCGGACAGACACGAGGGACGGGGCGCTAGCTGAGGCACTCTTCTCTTCCAGCTGTCCCTTGCCGGTTCCATAAGGACTGGTGTCTGGGCCCACCACCTGCCAGCCCTGAGACTCAGGGTCTGCTCTGGGCTTAGTGACGTGTGTGTCCCCAGAGCTGCCTCTTGGCACTCAGCAGCTGTTCAGGAAATGTGGGTGAGGAGGACGGGATGGAGACAGCATCTGTTACAAGTACATTAAGTGCAACATGGACACAAGCACACAGCCAGGCGCTGACCCGGCTGGAGAGCCGGCACTGCCTGAGGGACGCCTCCCAAGGCTGCGAGCTCACCGTGTCCAGGTTGCAAGGACGCGCGGCAGATAACTCATCAAAGAACATGTGAGAAGCATGGAATCTCACCTGGGAGCTGTCAGATGCAAACTAGAATGGAGTGCACTGCGTTTGCTCTCCTGGGGCTGAAAATGACACATCAGAGGTACAGAGACTGTGTCCATGACAGGAGAGCCTGCCCGCTGCCCCGGAGCGCACGCTCCTCACAAACTGATTTCACCCTGCAGCAGCTCCTAGTACCAGCGCATCAGCTGCACCCCGGGAGGGGCTGGACCAGGAGGTACCCTGGCCTCCATCCTCCCCAGCTCTGGTGACAGTGGAGGATCACAGCCCAGAGACATGGGGCACTGTTTCCGAAGTCATATCAGGAATGACCAGGAAATGATCCAGGGCTAAAGTCCAAGCCACCGGCTTCAGGTCAGGGCTCTTAATTTTAATATGCCCACGCCATGCTGGGTGGTTAGGCGCCTTTCTTCCTATTATCAGGCTGACCACAAAAGCAAGCAATACAATGCCTAGCATATTCTAGCTTGCTGTTTATTTCACTGAGAAATGGCCCACACACATAGCCGCAATTCTTGGAGATACATTTGCAATAAAAGCTCAGGGGTCGGACAGATGAGAGGGCTGTAGTTACAAATAACCTAGTTGAGAAGGTGGCATCTAAAGAGAAACTTCGGCACGTAAATTAATCCATGCATCAAAATCACTGAATTATACAATATTCCTCCCCATAGTTTGAAGATTAGTGAAGTATAAAAAGGCCCAAACATGGAGAAAACAATTCAAGCTTGTCCTTTAAAAGTAAAGATCATCCTTTACATTTTAGTAAGGTAAGGAATTTAAAAATTTGACTTTTATTATTATTACTTTTTGTTTACAAAAAGAAAACAGTTGCAACCCGTAGCTGTGAACCACCTGGTGAATATTCCCCTCATTTCAAGCAGATGTGTTTCTCTCCAGTGTGTGGAGTCCTGTCGTGCTAGCCAGCCCAGCTGGCCGTGGTCCACGGCCTCTGCTGGGCAGATCTGATCGATGAGCAGTGAAGATCTATGCAGAGGACGAGACTGGATGGTACCAGGAGCAGCTGTGCTGGAGGCTTGAGTGGCTTCCTGGGAATGCGGCCCCTGTGCCCCGCGCAGCCGCAGCACTCTGGAGTTGCAGAAAAGATTGAGACCCTGGCCCTGGCCCTCCCTTATCGCAAGCGAGCCTTGCAGATGGTACGCAGCTTCCGTAGAGAAGGGACCCAGATAAATGATTGCCCGCACGTGCTAGCCACGTATGCAGGTGCTGCACGTTCTCAGCGATGTCCACTGTGGCCACTGCACCCGTGTGGGATCCCACTGTTTCTAGGAGCCTGCGCTGCCTCTGCTCTGGAAGCTGCAGGACACAATTTACTCTATGCCACCAAGGCAAACGGCCACTTCCTGGGAGCCTCCAGTCTCTCTCTTTCCCTTGCAAGCATAGCGACAAATGCTATGTCCAGCAGGTGTGCCCGACCTGTGAAACCGGAGTGAGGGTGCCTACTGGGGAGGTGAGCAGGGGCAGGAGCGGCAGCTGCACTGTGCCCACCCCAGAAAGGCTCCAAGTGAGGGCGGAGATAAGGCCTGGGCTCTGAACTGAGCAGCAGGAGAGGTCTCAAGGAGCCAAGGGTGCGCCAGCTGGATAGCCGGCTTCAGGGCGCAAAGTTTTGATCCCCCCCTTGAAAAGGGACCCCCGGCCCTCTCCTGGAAGGGAGCCTCTCATGTTCCACAGGCTGGCATATCAGCGAGCCTGGCAGCCAGCAACACGGGTGGGGACTGCGGTGAGACTCGTAGGGTCAACTCTTGGCCCATTTCAGTGTAGTCCTGAGAGCAACCCCATTCCCAGCCCTACGAGCGCTCAGCGGAGGACCTGACCCCGGCTCTGCTGCTCAGTACAGATGAGTGACCTCAGGGGACCCCAAGACAAAGCATTCCTTGGGTCGAGTCCTTCTGAAGAGCAAGTGGCTTGTTTCTGTGCAGTGAGGGCGGTTGAAAGGGCCATACATAGGCCTGCTTTGAGGCGTGGCCTAGGAACACTGGGCCCAGGCGTGCCAGTTTCATGTCCAGAGGGAACCAAGCACTCAGCACCCAGCTGGGGACTGGGGTCCTTCCCTGCCCCGGGGGCACCAGAATACCTCCTCTGCCAGAGCCCAGAGGCCTCACAGCCCTCATTTTGGGACCCTTTCCCACTGTGTCCCAGCCCCTGGGGCTGGCAGGGTGCTGGCACCACTGGAAACAGGACCCAGCCTAGAGGACAGACAGACAGAGGCGGGGACCGTGTGGGATGCTGATCTCAAACCGGACGCAGGGCTTTTCACGTTTCTGCTGCCCCCTCGGCTGGGCTCCGAGGCCCCTGCATGGTCAGTGTGAGGTTTCAGACAAGCTGAGGGCCTCTTGAGGGTGAGGATTCCTGGGGTCCCCTAAGGTCTTCTCCCCTTTCTTGAACTCAGAAGCCCCCCACCTCTGACACATCTTGTGCATGAATGCCTTACCACAGGGCCTTCCCTTCAGCCTTGAAGTTTGATTGGCACAGCTCTTAAAACCTTAAGGCGCAGCAAAATTTCAAGAGAGTGAATTACCGGATTGCACTAATTTTTAAGGCGTCCTTTCTTTACTATTATCCAATAACTATATAAAAACAATGGTTTTTAGACAGGGTCTTGCTGTGTACTCCAGGCTGGCCCTGAGCTCACGGTGATCCTCCTGCCTCAGCCTCCTGAGTGCCGGGGACAGCAGGTGTGCCCTGCCACACCTGCATTATTGAAAATCATTTGTCATTCTTCATGTATATAACTCAAGATAAAAGTATAACTTCTAGTATTGGGAAACTGATGTGACACAGACTGGAAAGTTTTAATGAAGAAATAAACTCTGAGAAGTGTACACACAAAGATGCACATGGACATCCCGGAGTCCTCCCTTGTGTGCAGAACAGGTTAGCACAGCCCTAAGAACACCATGCGGTACAAAGGCTTTGTGAAGGAAGCCATTCTTGGCATTTTCGTGTGACAGGTGCTCAGCCAAGTTAGGGCTCAGCCTCCCCGCAGCAGCTGTGCTCTGACGATGGTGTCAGTGAGGGGCTCAGACCACCCTTCCTCGCCTGGCCACCCGATCCAATCCCACGGTGCCCACATGGAAAACAAGGTCCCATTCTGTTGGAAATTGGTGAAGGGCATTGCAAAGAAAGGGCAGCTTGGAGTTGCAAGACATCAGAGTCCGTCCTTCCCGGCCAAGAGAATCCAAGTGACAAGCAGCAGTGGTACCAGAAGCTGAGGGCAGGTCTCAGAAGGCGCCGCTGCAACCCCACCGGGCGACTGCGGACTGGGAGGAAGAGCAGGAGGCAGAGGAGGAGGAAGAGAGGAGACAGCTTGCTCCCACTATAGCAGGGTGCAGGTCTTTTTATCCTTGAAAGGGTTTTCCGAGGTCGGGATGCCCACGAGCAGGGGGTCACTCCTGGCGTGCTCCTCACAGTAGGACATGAGGTCCGCGGATGCCTTGGACACCTGGGACATAGTGGGAGACAAGAAGGACAGCGCCTCAGTGCCCACCCGGGGAGGGGCGTGGAGACCGACCAGGACTCTTTGTGCAGGAACAGAGGGAGATGGTGCCACGGCGCCGCAGGCAGGGCCGCAGGAGCAGGACTAGCAGGGCTGCCCCGAGCAAGTGCGCCCTTGCTGGCTGGCTGGCTGGGGCGCAGTAGCCATCCTGTGGGTTTCTGGTGTCTGGGCTGGGACAGGGTGGGGGTGGGTGGGTAACCAGACTGGGTGTGGAGGCAGGGAGTGTGGGGTGTAGGCTGGGCTGAGGACACGTGATGGCCCAGGGGATTTATTGGCTGACGGTTCCATCCCTGGGAATGGCGGGGGCCACAACATTCCAGCACTCTGGCAGCCTTTTCCAAGAGGAAAAGGGTTCAAAGTCAGGTGATCCAAGCCATGCACTGGTATTCATCCTGTGGGCAGGAAGTTGTCACCTATCCAGGCTGCCTGCGGTGCCCACTCAGACAGCTCTCCTTTGCTTTGACATAGGGTCTCACTATGTATTTTAGCTTGGCCTTTTAGGGATCCTCCTGCCTCAGCCTCCCAAGTTCTGGGATCACAGGCATGTGCTGCCACGCTCTGCACCTTAGGTCTGTTGAAATGCATAGGAAATAAAAATAAAGACCCTGTGGCCGCCAGCCTGCTCCGTGGCAATCCGAGAGCGAGCGAATTTAGGCGGCGTCTGTCTCTGATGGGTGCCCCAGCCCGGGGAGCTGGGGTGTGACCGCAAGCCAGTGCCCACCGCCTCTCACCTTTATTCTCTCGATGGAGGCCTCTAGCCGCAGCTGCTGCACGGTCCTCCGGGCCTGGGCTATGTTGTTGGTGCTGGCTGTTTTGCTGGACATCTTCAAAGGGTCCTTTCTCCCTTGAATCTAGACAGATTTTTTTCCTTAAAGGTGAATGACAGAAAAAGAGCAATTGAGATGAGTCACATCCAGGGACAAAGTTCCCGTGGTGAAACGGAAAAGGCAGCACCAAACCTCTTCAGTTGAAAAGGGTGACAGCTACCTTTAAGCTGTTCAAGCATTCGTAAGAAAGCTGCGGTTTGGAAGAAGCTAAAGGCAAATCTCACCGAGGAGCTGCTCATGAAAACCTAACCCGCCACCCCAGCACTCGGAGGCTAGGCAGGAGGATCCCTACTTTAGGGGAATGGTTACATTTTCAGAGGACCTCAGCAGGAAAGGCCCCCTCGTGCACATGTGATCTGAATGTCCTGGCGTGCCGTCCATGTGAACGGTGCGTGAATCTGGTTTGCACAAATGCAGCTCCAAGCGGGAAATCAATGCGCATGCACACACGCAGGCACGCAGGCACGTGGGCACGCACGCAGGCACGGAGGCATGCACGCACGCAGGCACGCAGGCACGCACGGAGGCATGCACGCGTGCAACCTGAGAGCTGCCCGTGGGACTTCTAGGAGACAAATACACACGGAGATCTGTAGGAGTGAGGGGCTGCCCCTAAGCGTGGTTACTGTTCCTGGGGCCACGCCGCGGCTGTTCCCTTTAACAGGGGTCCCAGTTTCTCTCTCAGGCTGCGGCAAGGCCCGGCAATAGGAAGCAGCCAGGTAGCCCTTGCCCGGCGAGCCCCGCACTCAAGCAGTCAGGCACGGGAGCAAGCCTCCATCCAAGGAAAGGGGTGCAGGTATGGCGGCGCTCACGCTCATTCTAGCACTCAGGAAGCTGAGGCAGAGGATCGCCGGTCAGCATGGGCTGCACAGTGAGACCGAGGTCAGATGGGACTACACAGCAAGACCTTTGACTCCAAAGGCCAAGCCAAGGATGGACCTGCAGGAAACATTCACGGAGAAGCACCGAGCAGCAGAAAAGCCTCTGGTCCTACTTGACCCTCTGACCTTTTCCCAGCCTCCTCCAGGTGGCCCTGCTGTCACTAACCCTGTCACCCCCAGATATGAGAATCACCTCTGCTCTCTGGCCCCAACCCCGGATGCCACCACCCGATATAAGGGAACAGCAGTGCCCAGGCCCATCCTGCACAGTTAGGTCCCCAGGCGTGGTAGGGCTGCAGGACGACACAGAGCTGGCAGGTGTGCGGCAGAGCAGCAGCTGCATGACTCACGGCAGCAGGTGAACACAGGGCGGCCACCCCGCCTGCCAGGGCTCCGCACGCTCGGGCCACTGCGGCGCCTGCCGGCTACAGAGCTGAGCTGACTCAACGCCCACAGCCGCGCCCGGTTTGGGCCAGACAAACTGCAGAGCCCGCTGGCACTGTGTGGGCTCCCTGGCGGGCCACAGAGCATAATGCAAAGTGCCATGGGACTTACTGTGTCCCCAAGGCCCTAGTCCAAGGGTCTGAGTGGGGCTTGCCTCCTCCAAGGTCAGAGGACACTTAGAGCAGATACACATACAAAACTGCCGGGTGGGGGGGGACTCTGAGAGGGGCACACCACAGGGATAGGGCTTCGCCTCCACCAGCCCAGCTTTCCTCATTTGTAACAGAAAGGGAAAAGCCAGGAGTAGGGGCACACACCTGTCATCTCAGCACCCAAAAGGCTGAAGCAGGAGGATGTTCATGAGTTTGAGGCCAGCCTGGGCTACACAGTGAGTTCAAGACCAGCTTGCACTATATAGCAAGACCCCGTCTCAACACCCCCTCCCCATGGAGCAAGGTAATATCCTGGAGTCCAAAGAGGCACTTCCGGGGGAGCTCAGTCCTGTGGCCTGCAGGCCAAGGTACACCATATGCAGCACTTGCTCCTGTTTCTGAGGTCACACAGCACTGAGGACCGAAGCCCTGGAATACCTGTCTGCTCTGCACCCCACAGCCAGTGAACCCCAAGGTCTGTGGGGGAAGGGAGAGGTAGCTGTGTGCCACCCTTGGCAAGCCAGAAGCCCACAGAGCAGGGAGGAGACCGAGGTAGGGCAGGGTAGCCTGGCTCTGCCCTGGCTGAGGTGACCTGGTGTCAGCATACCTCAGGATGCCTCAGGCATGCCGTCCCACCCAAGGAGAGGCTTGGGGTTCCCTGCCAGGGTGTGGCTGATTCTGGGCTCCTGGGCCAGCACTTGCTTAAATGCCAGGGAGGAAGGAAGGTCCTGGCATGCATGGCTGGTTGGCGACAGGACACACCAGGGTGTGGAGATGGAGGCTTCGCAGCTTTGCGACCTCCTAAGTGCAAACCACTATCTGCTGTAGACTGTCCACCAACAGCTCTGGGATGCTAGCGGGATAGAGCACTGGCGGGTGTCCCGGGCAGCTGGGAAAGGACAGACTCTCTGATTTGAGCTTTGTTCCTATATGGAAGTCAGGTTAGAGTTAGGTCATTTCCAGTGGAGTCCCCTTGAGGAGCTCTGAGTGGCCCTACTGGTCACCCCAGGTCTACGCAGGGGCCTTTTTTTAAAATTTATTTTTATTTATTTATTTACATAGGGGTCTTGCTGTCGACAAGGAGCGAGGTGGAGATGCCCCCCATGCGTTGCTGTTTTGTGCCATGCAATAGCTGGCTGTGCACGGCGAGAAGCCTCGGAGCTCACTGTGCCCCCGGAGGGCAGGCTGTGTGTCTCCCCTAGGCTGTCCAGACCATGCCGGAGAGCAGCCTCCAGGGCAAGCAGCAGCTGGCACTTGTGTGGAACCTGAGTGGGCACAGGTGGCTTCCCTGTAATCCCAAATTGGCTGGGACTGCTCGTCGTGGTTTTATAGAGGAAGCAACTGAAGTCAGAAAGGCTGGCCTCACAGTGACCCAGTTCATGTGCCTGGAACTGGCTTAGAAGTCTTTCCTTTCCGGAAGCTGCCCTCCCCACCTGCTGAAGGGCAAGGGGCGAATCCAGCTGACTCCCACTGTATACCGCAGAGGGGCTGTTTGGGGGCAACCTTGGCCGGGGGACCTGGAGCTGGGCTTGCCTGCTCTTCTGGGGTACGGGGTTGGTCTGACCAGCTGCAAGGCTGGAAGCCATCCGTGGCAGCCTGGAGCTCTCGGGCCTGGTCTTCCCCACAGGGGCAGCTCCCATGCACTTTGTACCCCGCCATCTGGACCCAGCATGGGCATTGAGTACTTGGGGGGACAGGGTGGCACAGCCTTCCAGCTGGTTAAACCTTCTGATCTGGCTTCAAAACAGGGGTTGTCCCAGCATCTAGGCACAGCGTGTCCGTGAGGGAAACAGAGGCATTTTAGCCTTGCCTGGGGCTCCAGAGGGGAGAGGAGGCGGACAGGGGAGGCATAGCCCAGAGCAGTTGGGAGGGAAGGCACCAGAGAGTCCTGGGCCTGGCTGGCCTGTCACTGGCCAGCACCCAAGCTCTGAGCAAACGCCCTGTGGCTGTATGAAAGGGGCTGGGAAAAAAAAGTAAGCCCCAGGGCTCCGCTTCCACTCTGATCCTGGCTTGGGCTTCCTGGGTCTGGCTCCAGCTCTGGGCCACCAGGGCGCCCCTGTTCCCTGGTTTGCTGGGGACAGCAGGCTGCAGTGCAGTGCACGGACGCTGTTCCACACCAGGCTGGGCTCCAGCACCCGCTGGAAAAGGAGAGAAAGATTCCATGGCCCTGTGGGCGCAGGGCAAGCTCTGGAGAGGAGGTTGTCCGTGCTCCTTGGCACTCAGCAGCCATGGCGGCAGGGCCTGTGGGTGAGCTGGACTGCACACTGCTGTGGGGCTGGCCACACACAGTGAGCCTCACAGAGTGTGTGTGTGTGTGTGTGAGAGAGAGAGAGAGAGAGAGAGAGAGAGAGAGAGAGAGAGAGAGAACTGTGAGCGGCCAGCAGCAGCTTTAAAAGGGAGGTTTCCGGAAAATGTGCCCAAATGCCACAGAGCTGGGCCTGGGCAGTGGGGCCCTTTAACACCCACTGGTGCCGGGCCTGGCTGCTGTCCGTGGGACCCAGGGATGCCTTGGAGGCCAAGTTGGGGCTCTGGCCTCAGTCCTGCTCCTGCCCCTTTCTGCTGCAAGGCCCTGGGCCTGACGTGCAGGCCAGGAGGCTTCAGTTTTTTTTTTTTTAAACTTTCTTATCTAGGAGGAATAAAAGCTCTGGGTGGGTGTGGTTTCTTGGGAAAGAACTCGCTTAGCAGGCTCAGGCCCTGGGTGTGATCCGTACTGCTTCCGTGCATGCATATGTGTGTGCGTGAGGCCACACAAGCCAGCTGTGGTGGCACGCTGCCTGTACTTCCAGCACTCAGAAGACTGAGGCAGGAGGATCACTGAGTCTGCGGCTGCACAGTGAGTTCAAGGGCAGCCTGAACTATGTAATGAGACCCTGTTTTGAAAAATCAAACCAACAAAAACAAAAAGCATAAGCATGTTGTATGGGAGAATACTGTTCTCTGAGTGCTCAGTGCCTGCCGCTTCCTACACACCACACACTTGGCACTCTGCAGCGCTCACTGCTCGCTGCTGGGCAGCCCGCCCCAGGACCCTCTTCCCTCTGCACTTCCCAGAGGCAGTCCGGAAATCGCAAACAAAGCATTTGCCAGTGTCGTGAGTTGAATTACGAAGCCCCAGCTCACAGGCCAAGGTTCTGACCCTCAGCATCTCAGAATGTGACTGGATTGGAGGTGGGGTCTTAAAGTAATGAGCCCAGTGTGGTGGTGCATGCCTACCACTCCAGCAACCTGGGAGGTTGAGGCTGGAGGATTGCAGGTGTGAGCGCAGTCTGGGGCAACTGAGAGACTCAGTGAGGTCCTGTCTCAAAATAAAAAAACCCAGAAAGGCCTGGGCTGGAGTCCTGGCATCGCCAGCGAAACAAAGCACAGCGTCCAGGTGTGGCAGGGCCAGCGGGTGCAGAGAGCAAGATCAGACTCCCACCAGCAGCACCTGTTGGGTTTGCTTCCGGGGGCCGGGGTGCTCCTGAGCCCACACTCCCCTCTGGGCCAGGGGCACAGTCTGGGGGCGTAGTGGCAGCCTGCTCCTCTCTGTGCAGCCTGTCAGCAAGGAGGCATGCCGCCCAGCTG